AAATAAAGATGGGACCCTTAATTAGCACAAGAATTTTAAATCATAACAGTGCGAGATAGCTTTTGGGGCTATTCGCAACGTGTCCGATATTTATACTAGTTTCGTTATATCTTTTGGATATAACTCTCTATGTTTCAATAATTATATACTTGATATCTATGTTTCCTTTATTTATACGAATAGGTTTGTTGTCTATTCTCCTTTATTTATAAGACGCTATATTTCCTTTATATAACGTTTACCACACAGGTTCACCACGGGCTTTTCGTGGACTTTCTGGCTAGATATAGTTTCCTGATAACGTTTCCCGATTAATGCTCTCCGGCTATTAATCAAGTCAGGTACGCACCCCTCTTTATGCCGCAGCTATTCCAACAATAAAAATAAAAAAAAATAAAAGAAATAAAAATAAAAATAAAAATAAAGAAAATATTTACAACTATGCTACTCAAGGCGTCCCTATAAATAACACAGTAAAAGAAAAGGTATCCCATCCAATGATTAAAGGTTGGCCAGACCATCAACCATCGGGGGGAACTTGACACAATTTGCAATAGTTTTATCTAACTATGCAAAAATTCGTAATAAGGTAAAAAGTGTTATGTTTATTATTAGCGATATTAATTACAAGATTATTTATTTATTATTATTATTATATTATTATGAATTAATTATTAACATCTAACTTGGTCGAAAACTAAGTGTATTTATACCTCTTGAGGTATTACAGGTAATATGACTTTTACAACTACAAGATCCAATAAAATATATTCCTACTTATCTATCTTGTATAACTATTCTTGATAACCTAAAGTAAATAATTACATAATATCCTTGTTATATTGAAATAGAAATATGAATATAATATACAAATATATAAAAATAGAAATATGAATAGGTCCTTCGAACGTTATCAACGTTTAACGTAACACATGACTTCCGCACTAAATTGATTCTGATTGATCGAAAATAAGCAACTCTCGCGGTCTTCGATTTTACTATCTCACAACAGCTTGATAGCTTGATTGACATAGTGGTGCAGTCTTGAAATTTTTTTATTGTGTATTTTAAATATAATTAATCATACATCTTTAATAAAACAGACATGACTTAGCTATTTAATCATTTCCTTGTATGTGAATGCCTCCATCCATCAAATATTCATGATGGTCATGATTATTATTCAATACATTTGATATCATCATTGACATAACAAACAATTGCATCACCCAGGTAGTAATGATACCAAGGCCATGCATAAATGAAACTTTTAATAATGCGTGTCTACCCAGATCTCTGAGGTAAACAAAATAAATTATTATCAATTGTGGTTGCTCATGAATAATAAATCTGATGTTGATTGCAGGTGTCAGATTTAATTGAAATTTTCCTATCACAAACAAGTCAACAGGTGCTTTCACACGCCTCATAACCATGGAATTTTTTCCACAGGTAAGGTGAAAAAGTGTTGGAAGGCTTTGGACAAAACATTTACTTATCTCCCCTCAGACCAGGCTTGGCTGTTATCATATGGCATTGACCACTGATAGCTGGTGTTTGTGTGATAATTGCTGTGTGTTATTGCCATGCTAGCATAAAAGTTGGTGTTAAGACTGGCTTGAAAATTCTGCAACTCAGGAGGTTGCAACCTGGATTGCTGCTTTGAATTCAGAGTTTTGAGCCCTGGGTTGCTGTAATTTTTATGAAAAGAAAAGTATTAATATTTAACAATTAATTATTTAAATGTTTATTTTGTTGAAAAAAATATACATTGATAGTGTACATTTTCTGTGCTTAACATCCATGTAGCCCTAAGTCTGGACAAAAGATCCCTTTCTATGAGTTTGGCTGGTATATCTCAAAGGCATCCCCTGTCTTGTCAGTGGCATGCCTACTCACCAACAACCCTACCCCATTTATTTAAACAACAGGTTCAGTTTGTCAAATAAAAATTAAAGAGAAGCAGAAAATTTGGGAAAATGATTAATTTATAACATACCAAACAAAATCCAAACCATTTTATAGCTTTTTTCTCGTTGGCCATATTGCTGACAAGGATGTATATAATTGTGCAATAATTTTAGCCTAAAATTCCATACAGCTTTCCATACGTTTTCCATATGGTTTTCTGTGCATTTTCTGTGCATTTTCCTGTACATTTCTGTCCAAATCTTTTATAGGGCAGTCCCCTACACAAAATTATAAATTGGTTAGTATCAAAAAACAGAGAATTTACAAAAATGATTATACAAAACAAACACTATTTTACAACTTTCCTCTTAACATCAGGGCCACAAACCCTGCTCCGAATTGCATACTGTGCTTGAACAAGCTGCAGATTCTCTTAATACTCATCAGCAGAGTTGCAACATGATCACAGAGCCATCCTTACCCTAGGGGTAGGATTGTTGCAGGAAAATTTTTGTCTAGCATGCCAGCGGCCATCTCTGGTCTGGGAAGATTAGTGAAAGTGTCATTGACAATTGATGCAGTCTCAATGCAGCTCAGGGCCACGCAGTACCCCTGGAATTCTGCAGCATCATTGTATCATCGATCAATCAGGTCAGATTAGCCTTGTGTACACAAGGAAGATGAGAGAATGACTGTAAAGTGTTCAAGGTAGTGTGCTTCAACGCCTGCTATTCTCCTGTAATCAAACATCGCATACTCAAAATGTCTCTTTTTCAAAAATGTGCTGCCTTGACATCTTGTGATTATAATATTTATAATAATATTATTAACGATTGCGAAAAGTAAAATATTGTCAATGAAAATCTTGTAATTGCCCCAGCAATGATCTGCTCCGTGTTTTGATTTCCAATTAAAATATTTATAAACCTAAAAATATCAATCAATACAAGTAAAAAAAAAGTACCTCTATTATTAACACGTCTTCTTTAGCAGACCCAAACCAAACCAAACAACAACACTACGTTTTGTCATCTTGGACTCTGTCAAAAATAAACTGTTTTTCCAAGAAAAAAAAAAATCAATTCGCGTCTGTCCTACCAAAAAAAAAAAAACCAATAGGATATAATAATTAGTGCGTACGCGTCAATTGTATCACAAAACTTCTTTCCAAATGGCCAACAGATTTAAAAACTTGAATAAAAGAAGAAGACAAAATGATGCTGAAGAAATATATGGGTAAGTGTTTAAGGATGGTGGTGGTGGTTGTCGCCCGCCACCTGTCGTCACTCTAGTTTCATATTAAATTTTATACTATATATGTAGATCTTCTACCATTAATGAATGGATTGATACAGAGGATCTGTTTGAAAGTATCAAGAAGATTCTACCAGGACCACCACCAACACCATTGGACACTCAAGAACTTTTTGAATGTCTAAAAAATTTATTACCTAAGGATAATGTTGAGATTCCAGTAAGTTTAACAATTTTCTATCTATTAAGCTATTATTTAACATTTTGTAGATTTTCAAATATTTTACATCACACAAACATTACAGTGTTCAATTGAGTTGTCATCATCTTATGCATCAACAACTACCAGTGGCACTGCTCATTACATACAATCTTCACAATACCATCCTAACACACTGCCTTCTCCTTCTACCATGGTTTCTACCACAAACAATACCACATTACAACAACAAAAACAATTACTATCTTCTTCTCCAAACTCTGGATCTTGCTCTACATCAGCTATTATTACTTCGCAATCTGCTTTTACTCCTTATAATAATCATTCTTCTCATACAATAAATCCTACTCCAGTAACTACTTCTCCAAATAAAGTAAATTTCAATATTTTTGAATCAGAAAAAAAGAGAGGAAAAAAGAAATTAAACGTGTCATCAACAGAATTATCAACTTCAACAGCCACTGCCTCATCATCATCAACCACCACCGCTACATCCACCACTGCATCTGGAGAACAACCTCTTGACAATCAAGATGAATCAACAGCTACAACAACATCCACTATTGTCGAAACTGAATCAGTAATAATCAACAATGATGACGATGATAATGAT